GGAAACAGCCCAATGAACATCACCGCAGAGGAGCCAATCAGCTAGATGTTGCTGGGGCCACTGTGAGCCAATCATCAGCTGGCAGTCTGAAGCTTGCTGGCAGCTGGAAGTTTGCTGGGGCCCCTTTGGCTGTGGCTCTCAACAAAGTATAGCTAGATATGAGGGGAAAAAAACCCTAGATATGATAGAAAATTAGATTTGAATCTGTAAAATCTAAAGGTTTTATATTTTTAAAAAAACTAAATAAAAAATAAAAAGGAAAACAACATACAGTGAAAACATATGAAAAGAAAATAGTATTGAATAATTAATTAAAAAATATAAAGACCTTTATAAATCAATAAGAAAACATATAGGTCTAAATCCTGAAATATTCAAAGGCTATGAATAAGAGTCTACAAAGGATGAAATACAGCTAATCATCAAGGAAATTAAATTTTGCTAATAGCCAAGATAATGCAAAATAAAATAATAATACACTTAACTGTTACTAAGCCGGGCATCGTGGTGCCCACTTATAATCCCAGTGGTTGGAAGGCTGACGCAGGAAGATCACAGGTTTGAAGCCAGCCTCAGCAATGTAGCCAGGGGGCTGTAAGGAACCTAGTGAGGTCCTGTCTCTAAATTAAAAATAAAAAGGGTTGGGGATGAGTGGTAGGGTACAGAGGTGGGGTTACTCAGAAAGTGACACGTGACTTCCACTGTTGCCCAGTCCCCTCCAGAGGGGATGAGGACCCTGGCCCTCTGTCTGCCACCCATACCAACAGCAGCACCAGGTCTGTGTGTCACAGGACCAGCTCCTGCCCTCAGCAGAGCAGCTGGAAGCAGTGCTCCCACCAGCACACTCTCTGGCCCAGCCACCAGCCAGGTCTCACTATGGTAAAGATGAGTGACAGGTTGAGTTCAAAGTCCTCCAAGCATCAATGAATAAATAAATATGAGGATGGGCCCCTAAGCTTCTGCCTCAGAGGTGTGCACAACCCACCCAACTCCTAGGAGACTACAATGGGCTGGGGAGGTGGCTCAGTTAAGTGCCCTTGATCCCCAGTACCAAAAAATAAAATAAAAAACTGTTACCAAATAAGCAATCTTATTATCTAACTTTTGTTGAAAGTTGGATAAAACTTGGGATTAATTAAATTTGAATTATGTAAATAGAGATTGTTTTGATTGCATTTGCTAGTAATTGCTAAGAATCTGAAATATTTATGTCCTGAGGCCCAAGAAGTTATTAATCTGATAGCAAAGTTTAGGAAGAAAAGCCTGTGTGTGTGTGTGTGTGTGTGTGTGTGTGTGTATAAGTTTTTTTGTGGTGATTTTTGTATAATGGAAAAGTTGGAAATACCCTAAATGTTTATCAATAGGAATGTAATTAAAAAAATTAAGGTATTTATATTTGTTGAAAAATTAAAATATAAAAATATAAAGTCCATACAGAGGCATGATAAGGTGTTTATGATCTATTAGTGAAAAATCAGAAATGACAACTATTTTAGATTTACCTATGGATATATCTATAGATAAATCTATAGATAAATATAAAATAGGTAAATATAAAAGGACAAAGAATATAGTAGTGAAATGGAGTTGGCTTTATAGAATTTTCTGTTTCTTCCTTTACTTTTTATAT